ACAGACTTGGAGAGTGTTAAATGCAGCTTTTTTGCAAAGCTGTATCAAGGGCTTGCCTGTATTATCTGGTCCCCCCTTTCACACCTTTCCTGTGAAATAATAAACAGGCTATTACAAGGCATCACTATGGGATTCTTCAATAATTTTTAAGAGTAAAGGGAACAAAGAACCCAAAAGTTGGAGAACTGCTGATTTAAACAAACAAACAAAACAAGTAAGAGGTGCAAATTCCAGTCTCAGCCTTTTCACATCTATAAAAAGATTAGGATATAAAGGTATTTACTTCCATATAAATATTTGAGCTGAAGTCATTACTTTTCTGGAATTTCTTTTTAAAATTCTAAATTTCTCAATAATTTTGAAACACTGCACTTTTATAGTATAAAACTAGAGGCCCAATGCACGAAATCTGTGCATTGGGGGGTGTCCCTCAGCCCAGCCTGCACCCTCTTTAATCTGGGACCCTCAAGGGATGTCCGACTGCCCGCTTAGGCCCGATCCTACTGCAGTCCTGGATTGTGAGAGGGATGTCAGGGAGTGCAGGCTCCCAAATGCTCTCCTGCCTGTCTTCCTGATGGCTACTAACACTTCCTGCCAGCCTAATCACCCCCTAACCACTACCTTGCCAACCTGATTAATGCCTAACTGCTCTCCCCTGCAGGCCTGATCCCCCCTAATTGTCCTCCCCTGCACGCCTGGTCACCCCTAACTGCCCTCCCTACAGGCCTGGTCCCCCCCAACTGCTCTCCTCTGCAGGCCTGGGTCCCTCCCACTACCCTTCCATGCAGGCCTGGTCGCCTCCAACTTCCCTCCTCTGCTGGCTTGGTCACCCCTAACTGCTCTCTCCTGCTGGCCATCTTGGGCTGGCCATCTTGTGTTCACATGGGGGCAGGATCTTTGACCACATGGGGCAGCCATCTTATGTGTTGGAGTGATGGTCAATCTGCATATTACTCTTTTATTAGATAGGATAGAGATCTGGTGCATGGGTGGGGGCCAGCTGGTTTGCCCTGAAGGGTGTCCTAGATTAGGGTGGGGGTTCCCTTGGGGGTTGGGGCCTGGGCAAGGGGCCTGTGGTGGTTTGCAGGCAGGCCACACCCTCTGGCGACCCAAGCAGAGGCCCTGGTATCTGGGGTTTATTTATCTTCTACAATTTAAACTTTGTAGCCTTGAGCAGAGCCAACCCTTCTGCTTGCTCCATGGCTGCCGCCATTTCTGTTTGGATTTATGTATCTTTTATCATTGAAACTTTGTAGCCTGGAGTGGAAGCCTAGGCTGGCAAGATCAGGGGGAAAGCTTGGCTTCCTCCACTGCCAGGGAAACCTAAGCCTCCCTCTTGCTCTCTGTGGCCGTAGCCATCTTGGTTGAGTTTAGCTGTATATTCACTTCTGATTGGCTTATGGGCATGGCTTGTGGGTACAGCAGAGTGATGGTTATTTGGATATTACTCTTTTATTAGATAGGATAGCTTCAAGGGTCAACTTCTGTATAATATAGAAGTAAGTTTATTTGATTTTTTTTTATTATGCTCCATCTGAATTCAGAAACTTATCACACAGTTTGCAAGAATATACATAATGAAAACAAAAATGAAAATAAAAATTGGAGACAATGCCAGGGAAAATATTTGTGTGTAAGTATGTGTGCACATACATATGAGTGTCTTCTTGTCATGGTTATGTAAAGATGGACCAGATGTGTTACACGTGATGTCTTCCTCTGTTTAGCTACTTCAGTGATAAAAGAATTGCCTTCTATAGGCCCTGATGAAAAGGTGACTATTTTCTTTTAGTATTTATTAGTTGAGCTGAGATTGGATGCTTTGCCAATGATTGGCTAGGGGCCTCATATGGACTATCAGGATCCTGGTGAGGAAAGATGTGTAGGCTGGTTAGATTCCTGCCTGAATTTGAACCTGGAAATATTAAGAGAGATAGCCAATGGTTAGAAATGAAGCTGAAGGTTACATTAGAGAGAGGCTGAGATGGCTACATGCAAGCTCCAGTTGTGAGGAAAAAGAAGCTGAGTTTTCAGAAAAGACTGGTTGGTTGAGAAAGGATGATAGATTGCATTTAGAAAAAACTACTGAGATGCAAGGAGAGGCCCTCAGCCTGCAAGAGAGACAGAGCAGGGTGAGCGCAGCTTCAGTGGCCAGCAGTCTCCCACGTGGCTTCTGTCTCTTTACAGTAAACTCTCTCTTCACTGGTTTGAGTTCCTGACAACCAAAAGAGCCTCAGTGAAACCTATAATAGTACATGTTTCCAGATTATAAAGACTAGCACAGGTGGTATGATTAAGACTTTAATTTGATTCTGAATTACCTGGTAGCCAAGACAAAAAAAGGAAACACGGTTAATTATGAAACTGTATAACAAAAAGAAAGCAGTCCCCAGCCAGTGTTGCTCAATGGTTGAGCATCAACCTATGTATGCGCCATGAGGTTACAGTTCTGTTTCCCAACTAGGGCATATGCCCAGGTTGCAGGCTTGATCCCCAGTCTATGGCGAACATGAGGCAGCCCATCAATGATTCTCTCTCATCATTGAGGTTTCTATCTCTCTCTCCCTCTCCCTTTCTCTGTAAAATCAATAAACATATATATTTCTTTAAAAATGAAAGCAATTTTAAAGGTAATCGTTTTCTAACGCTGAGTTTAAAATCAATCAACCTCAAAAAAATCAATCTCTTAGCATTAAATATTAAAAATAGAATTACTATATGATCCAGCAATACCACTTATGACTATATATCCAAAAGAATTCAAAGCAGGATCTGGCAGAGAGATTTGCACATTCATGTTCATTGTAACATTTATACAAATAGCCAAGAGGTGAAAGCATCCCAAGTTTTTATTGGCAGAAGAATGGCTAGAAAAAAATGTGATATGTGCATATAATGGAATATTGTGCAGCCTTAAAAAAGAAGGAAATCCTGTCACATGTTTCAATAGTGATGAACGTCAAGGACATTTTGCTAAATGAAATGAGCCAGTCATTAATGGACAAATAGTGTATGATTCCACTCAGAAGCCGTATCTAAAATAGTTAGAATCATAGAAACAAAAACTAGAAAGGTGATTGCCTATGGAGGGAGCATTAGTGTTTAGTGACTACAGAGTTTGTTTTGTAAAATGAAAATATTTCTAGAGATCTGTTACACAACAATATATATACTTAACACTACTGAACTTTATACTTAAAAATGATTAAGATGATAATTTAATGTTAATCTGTTTTTACCACAATTAGTTAAAAACAATTAGTCACCCAAAACAATATATTTGGCAATATCTTGAACATTTTAAAGCATATCAGAAATATATATATATGGAAATGTAAACTGAGAAATTTACCAATATAGCACCTCTCAAAAAGATTTTGGCTTTAGATCAGTTTTTTGTTTGTTTGTTTGTTTGTTTTGTGTGTTTTTTTTTTTTTTATGGAGGCAAATGAAGAAAGAAGACCTCTATTCCCACCCAGAAATGTAGGACCTTTGAGTTCATGAAACTTTTTATGTTTGTATCTCCTCTCTTCAGTGTATGGCTTTGTGTAGGCACATATGTAAGAGTACCCAAATACTTTTGCTGGGCAGTTAAGCAGATGTCAACATTCCTTCCTTCATTCTTTAAAGTATGGGCTGAGTTAAGAGGTCCTGTTTAGTTTTTGTATGACCTTGCTGATTGGTTTGTGATGTACACACAAGGGGATTGAGGATGGCATGTGTATAAACAAGCACAGGTCTTGTATATTCTTCAATGGCAGAGCATGCCAGCAACTTTTCAGTATGATGTTGCCCAAATAAAATAGTATTACCATCTGACTGACTCATTCTGCAGGACCTGGTTTTCATAAAAATCCAGAGACAGGAGCAATAGTGATAAACAGAATAATAATCACTAAAAGTAAAGCCTATTTCTTTATCTTTCTGAATCTAAAATTCAAGTAAACAAATTAGTTTACAAAAATTATCGAATATTTGAAAAGTATTGTCAAGTTTCATTAAATAGATATACACACTTTGGATAAAAAGCACTTTTCTCATATCTACAGAATATTTTCAAAATCATTAATATCCTGACCATGAATACAATCTTTTCAGTACTTTGAAAAGGTAAAGAGGTGAACAGATTGGTGGACACAGACAAGGAAAGGGAAAGGGGAGACCATTGGAGGACTTTCTCAATATAAGCCAGGGACACTAGAAATTAGCTACAAAAGATAACCATAAATATAACTGCTTATAAATAAGAATTTTTTCCTAAGTAACTGCTAATTTAAAGAGAAAGTCAACATATGAATAATGTTTCTGTAATACAGTATTCCTTCCTTATCTGCAGAGGCTATGCTGCAAAACCGCCTGTGAATGCCGGAAACCACTGATAATACAAACCTGTGTATACTGTGTTTTTTTCTATGCATACATAACTGTGAAAAATTAGACATAAAAAGAGATTAACAGTAATAACTAATAAGAAAATAGAACAACTATAATGATACTGTAGTGAAAATTGTGTGAATGTGTTCTCAAAATCTCTTATTGTACTGTACTCACCCTTGTGATTACAGGAAATGACAGAATATCTGCCTGATGAGATGAAATGAGGTGAATGAATAGGTGTAACACACACTGAGTTGATTGGCAAAATATTAAAATACAAAATAGCCAAAACCGGTTTGGCTCAGTGGATAGAGCGTCAGCCTGCAGACTGAAAGGTCCTGGGTTCGATTCCGGTCAAGGGCACGTACCTTGGTTACGGGCACATCCTCAGTGGGGGGGTGCAAGAGGCAGCTGGTCCATGTTTCTCTCTCATTGACGTTTCTAGCTCTCTATCCGTCTCAATTCCTCTCTGTGTAAAAACCAATAAAATATTTTTTTAAATACAAAATAGAATTTGATGTAATTTTATGATGATGTTTGCTTTATACATTCTGGCTTTACTGAAACATATTTATTCACTTAAAATTTTTCTTTTTGCTTAATATTTTTCTTCTTTTTTGTAGGAATTTATTTTATCAGAAGATTATAACAAGATGACTCCTGTGAAAAACTATCAAGGTAGGAATGAGAACAGTGTTTTCATTTACCTGGACTTTGAAATGTTTCTTAATGTCTTCCACTGCCAAAAGAGAGGCCTTACTTTAAAACAGGGAGAACAAAACTTAGCAATTTGAAGTTAATGTTATCCCAGTTTTAGAAGTAAGATGCTGAGGCCTGAAGAGGTAAGGTGACTTGCCTGTGGTCCCTTAGCTGGTAAGTGCAGGGCCTGACCTGGTCACTGGGACTCAGGAACCCACAGCCTTTGTCCTTTGTTTTCCTCCTCACAGTGCAGCAGGCATGGGGAGTGGGGCAGTGTTAGGGTGAGCTGCTTTACATGAGGCTCATTTCTTTTTTGGTTAAATGTTTTAAAAGGCTCAGAGAGTTTGTACTATCTAAGGGAGGGAATTGTGGTTGTATTGTATCTTCAACATGGATAGCGTACCATAGGCCATTTCTGTCCTATGGATCAGGGATAATTTTTGTTAAGATTATCCAGACCAACAATGTCATGGGATCAGAACATTGGAGGTGGACCTTTTAACACTTAGAGGTCATTTCATCCAAATCTCTTGGTCTTCTTCATCGTGCGTGGTCATCTAGCATTTCCTCTAATACCTCCAGAGACATAGCAACCCCTCCTGATTTGGGAAAATTCTGTGAATTATATTTTTTAGTTTTATATTTTGAACCAAAATTTATTTCCCTATACATCTATTCTTTAGTCTTTTCACATGTTACTTATCAAATACTTGTTGATCACTTGTCAAGTATTTATTGAGTACAGTCATTGTTTCAATAACTGAGGATTATAATAGTGAATAAGTGATATGTACTATCTGCCTATAATCCTAATATATAAAAACCCTGGGACTATCATGACCAGAGGCTTGATCAACCGGAAGTCAGTCCTGCAGTCAGCGTTGGGTTACTGTGGTGACCCAGCACTGACTGTTATGGCAGTAGGCCTGGTGACCCAGTGCTGACTGCTGAGGGGGCTGGAGAGAGGCCTGAAGAGAGAAGCAGGGTCTAATCCGTAGCCTCTGTGGCTGCTGTTGATCAGCACTTGTCTCTCTCCAGGCCGGGCCAGCAGCCACGCCTCCATTTCTCTCCAGGCCTCCACCAGGGCTGCTGATCAGCCCCACCTTTCTGATCAGGCCCCATTTGTAGTCCCAGAGACGCTGACTGGCATAGAAACTGACCAATCAGAACCAAATCTGGGTCAATTGTGAGGAGCCCATGGCTGCCTAGGAGGCAGAGCTTTTGACCCCGACTGGGATAGAAACTGACCAATCAGAACCAAATTGGCTGGCAAAGGAGGGCAGTTGGGGGCAAGATCAAACTTGCAGGGGAGGGCAGTTAGGGGTGATCAGGCAGGCAAAGGCAGTTAGGAGTGATCAGGCTGGCAAGGAAAGACAGTTGGTGTGAGATCAGGCTGGCAGGGGGAGATCAGGCTGGCAGGGGAAGGCAATTGGAAGAAACCAGGCCAGCAGGTGAGGGCAGTTGTGGGCAAGATCAGGCTGGCAGGGAGGGGGGGGGGACAGTTGGGGGTGAGATCTGGCTGGCAGGGGAGGGCAGTTGGGTATGAGATCAGGCCAGAGGGGGGGCAGTTAGGGGTGATCGTGCAGGCAGAGGCAGTTGGGGCGAGATCAGGCAGGCCAGGGAGAGCATTTGGCAGAGATATCAGGCTGTCAGGGGAGGACAGTTAGGGGCAATCAGGCAGGCAGGCAGAGAGGTTGGAGTGATCAGGCAGGCCGGCAGAGGCAGTTAGGGATGATCAGGCAGGCAGGCAGGTGAGCAGTTAGGAGCTAGTGGTCTCAGGTTGCAAGAGGGATGTCCGACTGCAGGTTCAGGCCCGATCCCACAGGGGCCCCCAATTGAAGAGGGTGCAGGCTGGGCTGAGGGAACCCCCCTTCCATGCACACATTTTGTGCACTGGGCTACTAGTAGTTTATAATCATGTGGAGGAAACAAACAGGTAAACTGATCATTAAAATGTTATGTGATATAAGGGAACTTTTGAGATCTTGCTCCCTGGCATATGTTGTCAGTTTGGCTCAAATAAACTCCTATAAAAATAATAATGTTAAGTGTTAAGTGTTAGAATATCCCCCTATAGGTCTTTGCTCAGCCTATTAAAGCCTCAAAAGCAATGAAAATTCCAATCCCTCTCCTTTTTTTCCTTCTCTTTTCTAGCCAAAGCAATTTATATTTTTCTTTACATGACCTGAGTTTTTGTTCTTTAAAAATATTTTTATTATTTTGGTCACAAATCTTGGGATATCATGTTGTACTATTGGGACCATTTTTTTAAAAAGTGACACATTGTGGTTTGCTGTCTCTAAGATGTCTCCTAATGATTTTTGCCTCATGGTATTTATGGTCCTCCTCTCCTTGAGTGAAGGCTGGATCTAAAATACAGCAAGAATTGAATATTATTTCTGAGATTAGATTATAAAAAAATTTCTGGGGCTTCCATCTTGCTGGTCCTCTCCTGCTCTCTTGCTTTCCTGTTCTGATGGAAGCCAGCTGCCATGTTGTGAGCTGCTTTGAAGAGAAGCCCAGGTGGTAAGGAACTGAGTGGAGGCCATGTCAACTGTCAGTAAGGAACTGAAGCCCTCGGTTTAGCAGCCTATGAGGAACATAGTCATGTCAACAGCTGTGTGAGAGGGCTTAAAATCAGCTCCTCCTTTTATCAGGCTTTCAGGTGAGAGCACAGCCCACACCTTGATTCCATTCTGTGAGAGACCTTTCAGCAGAGACACCAAGATTTCTGATCTGCAGAAATTCTCCTGAAATGACAAATGTTTACTGTTTTAAGCCACTAAGTTCTGGGTATAATTTGTTGCATAGTATATAATTAATACTCACATATAATGTGATAAGTACAAAATCATATTTCCTTCTTCTCCTGGGCATTGTTCTTCTAATATCAAAGGTAGCAGCCACTTTACACTGTGAGCTCATATGGAGCAGTCAAGTCATCCCCTCAACTGTTCTTCTTGAGTTGTTATCACGCTATATCTCCTATACTTTTGAAGCTGTTTCCTGTGTGGATTTTGTTATTTTTTTATTGTTTTTAGCTTAAATGCTTGACTTCACATTCTGTTATTCATCTTGTTTTATTTAGTCTATCTCTTAGTTCATCAAGATATTTTGAAATCCTGGTTGTCATTTAACTCCCACTTAGTTTTGTATTTTTCTAAACATATAACCAAAAAAATATATCATCCCTAAGTCTGTTAAAAATAGTGATTGGTCCCCAAAGATGCACAAATGATGAGTATATCACTAAAAACCACTCTTCATATGCCATTATTCTTTGGATCTCTTATATCCAACTTGTTTTATATACATCTAACTATATCAAAAGATAACTTATTTATTTTCATTTTGTTTACAAGAGGTTATAAAAAACTGACAACTAGATCACTGAAGAGATCCTTTCATCCCAAACACCTAGAGAAATGGTAAAATTATACTTCTTGTTGCGTGCTTTTTTTCCTTTGGTTAATCCTCACCCAGGGATACTTTTTCCATTAATTTTTAGACAGAGTAGAAGGGAGGGAGACACAGAGATAAACAGATGTTAGAGAAACACATCCATTGGTTGCCTCCCACTCATGCCCCCATGGGGCCTGGGGATTAAGCCTGCAATCAAGGTACAAGCCCTTGACAGAATTAAACCAGGAATCCTTAAGTCAGAGGGCCAACACTCCCATCACTAAGGCAAACCAGCTAGGGCTTGTTGCTCTTTTTAATGCACCGCTCATGAGATAAACAAAAGGAGTATTTCCATGTTCCAGAAGCACAGAGAAAACACCAACGTCAGAGTGATATACGGATGACCTGACATTGCAGATGTCCTGGGGAGGTAAAAAGAGCCCCGAATTGCTTGAAGCTTTTTTATGAATGTTCACTGAGGGACAAGAGATGAGGCCTAGGGCCTGAGTGAGATTCAGAATTGTAACAGATTTTCAGATAAAGCTGGAATCCATAAAAGGAAATAACCCTGTGAAATCGAGAGGAACAAAACCCTTCTGATATTGGCTTAGAAAACTACAGGGAAATTTATTTCTCGTCTCAAATCTGGATAGAAGAGCCAAGTCTCCCATGAAAAATCAAAATTTCAACTTTTAAGGTAACAAACTTCTGACCTTAAAAGTTCTTATAAGAAAAAAAAGTGTAGCCGAAACTGATTTGGCTCAGCGGTGGAGAGTCGGTCTGTGGACTGAAAGGTCCCAGGTTCGATTCCGGTCAAGGGCATGTACATTGGTTGCGGGTACATCCCCGGTAGGGGGTGTGCAGGAGGCAGCTGGTCGATATTTCTCTCTCATCGACGTTTCTAGCTCTCTATCTCTCTCCCTTCCTCTCTGTAAAAAATCAATAAAATATGATATATTTTTAAAAAGTGTAATTATATGAGGTGATAGATGTTAACTAAATTTAGTGTGGTAATCATTTCACAATATATTTGTACAGTGGAACCTTGATTCTCAACTTTAATTTGTTCCAGAAGGCTGTTCAAGAAACGATTTGTTCAAAAACTGAATCATTTTCCCCATTACAAATAATGTAAATAGAATTAATTTGTTCCAGACCTCCACATGATTCCTTGTTTTAGCCTTTTTTATATACAGTACATGTCCAGTGTACTGTTTAATCTATAAACAAACACTTATTTTGTTTAATTCTTTGTAGCCTTAAAGGAATTATTTTCAGCACTCATTCCAGGGGTATCTTCTGGAGGTCAGTATGCAGCATCTTTGTTTTTTTCACATATCATTGCCTTTAAAATGCTGTCACCTAACTGCTTTTCACTTATCCAAATCAACAACAGTTTTTCTACCTCTTCAATTGCCTGTGATCATTGTTTCTTTCACACCCTTAGCAACATTAGCATCTTGATGGCCTTTTATGTTTTAAATTGTGCTAATTGTCCATTTCACCAGCAACAAAAGCAAAAACAAACAAACAAACAAACAAACAAACAAAAAAACCCACAAAAATATTCACAGCAC